ACTTTAGTTTTGAATCGCATCCACTTGATGCAGAATGTAAAAACAAAAGTCCTGCTTTGCAAAAGGAGACACTTTTCCTTAAATGTTGCTGTTTTTGAGGCAGATAATCCCTGGTTGTGAACAGGATTACTGAAGCTAAAAAGTCACATTTCCACTCAGCTGCTCTCTGTATCCATGACAACACCAAGCCAAGCAAAACAACCTTTGCAGAAGTGATGATGACTCTTTTTTTTTTTGGAAACTCACTCGGCGTAGGAATATCTTTCCTCTGCATCTTATTGTTCCACCTTGGTTTTTCTTTTTCCAATTTGACTCACAACCACCAAAAACCTGCAATAAAAGCGAGCTCCAGTGTCTGAATCTCAGATCTCTGGACCCTCTTCATCTCAACGGTCGTTTCAGATCATCCAGGCTGGACATTAGGACTGCGTTGCCATAGTAACTGCACCATAAAAAGGCCATAACGGTTTTTGTGGGAGTTTGTGAAAATGGGAATTAAGAAGGCATAAAAGCTGTCATGCCTTGTGTGTGTGTGTGTGTATGTGTGTGTGTGTGTGTGTGTATGTGTGTGTGTGTGTGTAAATAAAAAAGAAATGGTGGTTTTATTTGCATGATAAAAAAAGACGATTATGTTAACAACACCTGGTTAAAATTGTGGCACCAGGCCATTGGTGCAAAGACTGTTAAAGAGGAGCGCATCATTTCAGCTGCAGAGTGACGGCTTTGTAAGGACGGGTAATGGTCTGGCTAATTATTTAGAGTTCATGATTTTTATTGTTGAGGGGGCCTTTTGCAGAGAATCTTAAAGGAATTTTCGGGGTCAATTTAGTACCTAAATTCTGTAGAAGTGTGAGATTTTACCGCAGCTGTTTTTAAAAATCCAAATCCCACTTATGTTAACACGTTTACGATAATTAGAAAAACTAATTTTATCAGAATGAACTCAGTTACTATTTTAGGAAAAATATAAATTTAGCATTAATTTTTTATACATTTTATTTTGAAAGCCAGAAAAACAAACCGTTTCTGACAGTCATTTTTTCTGTTACTCGTTTCCACTTTACAGATTTAACCAACATCTGAACTCAAGAGAAAAATAGCAAATTTTTACCTCAAATGACAAATTAGATTTATATTAAACACTTTTTATTTATAGCACAATCACATGGGCTATTTAGTAGCTGCAACACATTCAGACAGACTTAGCCCTCCCACTGTCCTAATGGTTGTGACCCCGCGAGGAAAGTTGACCATTGAGCAGGATTGATGGTTTATTTTTTGAGGTCCACATGGCAGGGGCGAGCACCACCTCAGGGTCACCCATAAAGACAGTGGGAGGGTTAAACCATCTATTCAATACAGTCTTGTCACATATGTCTCAATGATGTCTCAGATTGTTTGCAATTTTTTTCCATTTGCAAAATAATTGCAGACCTGCACAGAAGTCGTCTTGCAGAAAGAAATTTGCAACAACATACCACCAACTCTGCAGAAAACGCTCAGGAATGTTTTGGAAACTCTTCCAAATTATATTCATATTTTACCACCAGCATCTATTTCCCTCCTAAGTAATTTTCTTTGGTGTTTATTTTTCCGAAATCCACCAAAAGACCACTAAAATTACATCTCCAACCAGAAAAACAAAAACAGAAACTGCTTCATTTGGAGAAGTGAAATAGCTTATATGGTGGTGATCCACCCTTTAACCAATACACAGAACTATATTATCTGAACCTCTCCTTTCCTATTTGCAGCTTTTTGTGTATTGAAGCTTTTTATCTTTTAAAATAACGATCATTCAAGCAGAAGTGCGGTCTTTCAACGAGCTCCTAAATCTCCCCATCTCAGAGAAAACGGGCCGGACTGGACTCAGATCATAATCTTCTCTTTCTGAGAGTCTTTTCAGCTCAAGAGATAGAAAAGTTTAAACAGTTTTGCTGCAGAAGAGCCAAACGAATGTCAGCGTCTTCGCTGTCTTGGAGACCAAAACCCAGACACTTCTGCAGAGTGGTTCAAAACCATGAATGCTTTCTGCTACAGAAACATTATATCAATGGGCAGCCCCCCCTCCATAAGGTAAGAGTCAACAACACGTCTCCAAAAACCTGAGCAGCTCAGCTTTTCCAGATGAATGACTGCTTCAGTGTTTCTAGCCTAGCCCCATTACTTCTTGTTTATCTTCAACACAAGAAGAGCTCATACCAACACATTCTCACTCCCAGCGTGTCAAAAACAAACTCTTGGTCAGCCACCCTCCACGTCAGACCCCTGACGTAAGAAGTGCCCTTTTTCTTTACTTATGTGCGAAAAGGGATTTTCACCTTATTTGACTGCAGATCCCAATGCAGCGTTACACTGACGCGATGGGATGTCCGCAGCCAGGGCACCAAACAAGCTCATTGTACCTCACCTTAACCTTATCCTCTTATTTAACCTTCCCATCACCCCTATCCTAACCTTAACCATCTTGCTAGCGAACACGTGAGTGATGTGTCAATCGCTCTAAAAGCCGGCTCTATGAAGTTAACGGCGGGAGCCGCCTCGTCATTGGTCGAGTTTGGACCGAGCCAACGCGAGGGGGAGGTTTCAACTACAAAGGTGGAGGTTAAAAGTAGAGGGTATTTGTAACCTCCCCCTCGCCAGATGGTATGTTCTAACGTTCCCCTTGGGCGGCAAATATGAAAATTGACAGTCAGACTCTGACTGTCAGAGTCAGAATGCACGGGAAACAGACGCTTTATCACAGTGAGAGTAACGTTTTAGGTAGCAAGAGGGTTAAGGTTAGGATGAGGGAGAGGGGAAGGTTATAAATAGTGAAACGTTAAGGTTTAGGTGCGGTTAACTGAGCTGGTTCTGTGCCGCATCAGCGGATATTTAATCACGTCAGTTTTACGCTGCATTGGGATCTGCTGTTACAAAAGGGAAAAACCCCTTTTCGCACATAAGTAACAAAAAAGGGCACTTTTGGCGTCTGGGGTCTGACGTGGAGGGTGGCTGACCAAGCGTTTGTTTTTGACGCTTAGGGTGTGAGAATGTGTTGCTCAAACACAAGAATTACAACCCCCCCCCAAAGGCTCCAGAGTCTTTGATCTTAATGAGCTTAAAGTGTTCTCACGGTTAAATCTAAAAAGCACTCTTGAGGGACCCACGGCGTCCCGAACGTCACTTTTCCTGCACCTTTCCTTTGTTTTATTCCCGTTGACACCTTCGACTGATGCAGTTATGCTCCTGTACAGGCAGACGCACTTTTGACCCCCTCCCCCGCCGATGAAAGCAAAGACAAACAACACAAACAGAAGTGACGCGGCATCACATTCAGAGTATTAGAGTCAAACGCAGCACAGACATGAAGGTTGTTTCAGCCTTTAAACAACAACGAGCCGCTTTGGGAAACGGGAGCCTTTGTTTTTGCCGTCAGCAGGAACAAACAAATGAAGATGAATGCGAGCAAAAGCGTAAAAGAATTACAGATGTTTGGCCTCCTCTCTGCTTGCACCCTCGTCTCTTTGCCTAATAAAGAAACAAACGGCCGAGAATTTATTCATAGGACGCCGCTGACCTTTGCGGGTGATTCTCGGAGGTGTCTGTGGCACCCGGGCAGTTGGCATTATGCGACATTACACAACACACAAAAGCATCAGCAGCATTTGGTTTCCGCTTCTAGCGTCAGCTGCGAACGCTTAAAGTTCACAGATTCAAACCAGAGCAAAAAGCAGGTAAAAACAAATAGACGAGTCACTTTGACAACATTTAAATTTGACAAAAACACATTAGAGATTTAATCAGACGTCTTTATCTTGAGCTTCACAGCTTGGGCTGAGTCGTCGGTGGCAGACGCACCACCCCGATGACTCGGTGAGAATCTCAGCTTGTAGGAAGATCACAGCGGGGTTACGCACGACTTACGTCCCGTCAATCGAGTTCTTCAGACGTTAAGGGAAACAACGCTTCCTCGTTTCCTTTCATTCAGCAACACTAATCCGACAGCTTCTGGCTTTGAGCACAACTCACAAGGACAAGAGAACGGTTACCTGAGGATCTGGCAGAACACAAACTGGTGCAGACACCAAATTTTCTGGGAAAAAAGGGAAACTCTGACCTGCTCAAATTTGAGGCTTCTGGTAATCTAGGCTTAGAAAATTGCTCATCCATAAGAGACAGAGATGACAAAACTGAAACACCAAAAACTGTTCAACTAGACTGCATCGTTGAGTGATGGGAGGACTGACAAGGGACAGAAGAGCATCAGCAGCAGGAAGCTGGACTCAGGAAGATGAGCGTAAAGAGGAGACGAAGGCCACTGAGAGGAGATGTGCATCGGCGAGCCATTGTTGTTCCTCGTAGGACTGAATAACTGCTTTTTCACACCAACTGAACCGAAGCGCGCACACATATGTAGCTCCCAGAGGTGGAAAGTAACGAACTACATTTACTCAAGTTACTGTAATTGAGTAGCTTTTTTGTATATTTATACTTTTTAAGTCGTTTTTAAAAGCTGTACTTTTACTTTTACTTGAGTAAGTTTTTTAAAAAGAATTGTAATTCGCTACATTTTAAATCATCTCCGTTACTGAGTAAAAATAAATTATAGGCTTAATAAATTAAAAATATTAGTGTAGCAGCGTTGGAACGGAAAGAGACGCCTGCATGAGCGCCACGTCTAAACCGTGTGTGTGTGTGTGTGTGTGTGTGCGCACACACGAGCGAATTGTGAACTGGCGTTGTGATTTAGCACTACTTAGATGTAGCCATCCTTACGCTGACAAAAATGTAACTAAGTAACTTTTACTTTGAGTACATTTTGTTTACGATACTTTTTACTTTTACTTGAGTAAAAATTTAGGCAAGTACTTTTGCTTGTAATTGAGTAAAAAATTATCAAAGTATTGGTACTTTTACTTAAGTAGGAAATTTTTGTACTCTTTCCACCTCTGGTAGCTCCTAACGAAGGAGAAACAAAGCGATACAGGAGGATGCAAACCTGCAGGATCTGGTCTTACCTGTCCCGCCCCTCTGAACCACCAGGCTGGTCTCGGCTCCAACAGCACACTCCTTGAGCAGATCCACCACCTGCGTGTGAGCGAACCCCTGCACGGGCTGCTTGTTAATCTCCACGATCAGGTCGCCCTCGCACAGGCCAGGGCAGCCTTGTGGTTCCAGGACCTGTTTCACCCGCTGGCCCGTGGCACTGTCCGCGATGGTGAAGCCAAAACCATCCACGCCCTTCACCATGGTCAGAGTCAGCAGCTCCCCCTGGGTGGCCCCTGAAGACGCCATGGAGATGCTGTCAGGGGGCGTGGTGCCGCTGGTGGCAGGAAGCGACCCGTCTAGGTGGGTGTCACCTGGGTGAGAGGTGAGGAGCTGCTGCGGGGAGCTGACCTGGTCCTGACCGGGGTCTGTGACGAAGCGAGCCGTTCGGGTGAGATAGTCCAGGTAGTTATCGTAGCCCGTCCTGCCGTTCACCATGATGGGCCGCTGCTCCATGATGCCTAACGGGGAGATGATGGTGGTGGTGTTGTTGTTGGTGTTGGCGGCGTCCTCTGGGTCGTACGGTAAAGGGTAACCACGACACAGCACCAGGGTCACGCTCTGGCCGATGGGCACGGACTGGAAGAGTTTAACCACATCGGCGTGGGTGGTGCCGAGGACGCAGACGTCATTTATGTAGACGATGACATCACCTGACGGGAGAAGGAATCAGACATGAGGGGAATGTTTACTAATCGGAACATTACACATAATGATCACAGAAATGGGAGGACGGAGAAGATGAACCTCAAGATCAGATTTCAAAGCATTTTAATCGCAGTTAACTAAGATTTTGTTTTAAAAGGACCACTGCATAGGAGACTGCATACACTTGTTGTGCTATTTGGAGAAAAGACCTGTGGGCACTCGGTTGGTGACCCCTGTTTTCGTGTTAGTTTTACTCCAGATGGACCAGGACCTGCTCCAGCACACACTGGGCTCCAGCCAAGTGCATAAACATACTGATTGTTGTTGTTTTCTACACTTTGAAATCCAGCAAGAGAGTAAAACTCTGCTTTGTCCACTTGTCCGAAGTCAAGTTGACCTTTTGACTTCAATACAAACAGCAGAAGATCTAAAGAAATGTGCAAACTTTTCCCGCCTGAGCCACTAAGGTAGAGCAGGTGGTGAAGTAATCAGAAGGTTGCAGGTTCAAGCCCACCAGCGTGTGAATGGGTGAATGACTGAATGTGTTGTGAAGCACCTTGGGTGGGTTGTAGAACCTTTAGACGGCACCATGCAAATACAGGCCGTTTGATTTGTAAAAAATATAATAGACAACTCTCTTTGTGCGTTTGTTTTTCATAAATTACAGCCACGACATTGAGTGATCAAACTGGCAGAGCTGAAGGGTTAAACTCCTCAAAATTATTAAAGTTTTTATAGATTTGAGCAGGACGAAAGTTGTCCAACAGATCAGTTAAAAAATGCAAAAAAATAAAAACGTAGATATTTTTTATAACCGCTTTTACGAGCGGAAGTTTTTGTCCTCCAAGGCCACTAGAGTATAGTAAATTAAAGTGACGCCTGAGGGTTAAGTGTGACAAAAAGCAAGGACTTGGTAAAGGGGACAACATACTTTTTCATGGCCCTTTAATTCTTTTTACCCCATGAAGAACAAACGAGCCTTTGGTAAAAGCCAACACTCTGTTTGAAAACCACATGAAAATCTAGCGAAACAAGGAGCTAACATCAAGAGACACAGTGTGGTGGGTGGATCTGAATGCTAACAGAGGAACGGAGATATACGAGCTAATTAACTGAAAAGAATGAGGAAAAAAAATCAATCCGATCTGCAGCCTTATGAATGCTGAAAACTAAATAAATTAGAGTCGGATTCTAATTTCAAGTGAGAGTTTGTGTTCAACTATCTGTTTCAGAAAGAGCATTTGTTTTATGTTAACGATCCGGTGAAAGAAACTTCAAATTAACAATATGGTCCAAATGCTCATGAAGGCATCAGCATTTCCAGTGAACATCTCTACATCTGCACGGGCTCTCCTCTCATCCCACTAACAGTCGTAAACGCTTTCCACGGATAAACATCACCTCAGATAACGTCTCATCTGCCTTTCAAGTCGGAAAAAAAGCGGATGACAAGTGGTGAAAATGTTTGTCTTTTATGGGTTACTGGAGCTTTTTGCAGGAGGACACTGAGCTGTAGATAAAACCGAGAAGATGAATAAAAGCTCCCACATGAAAGAACTCCACATCCAGGCTCATTACATTACTAAATATAGACTTTTAGGCTCCTACAGGTCCTGGGCAACTGGAAACAGAAATGTAACAAACAGTATTATCAGCTCTGACAATAAAAACACTCAAGGGCAGAAAAATTGTCAAGCTCTTTGGAGAGAACTGCTCCAGACAACAAGAAATCTGATTAAAAAGATACATTTGTGCTTAAGTGATTCCTTATTTGCAAAGCTCCGCCTATTAAACAGCCATAAAATGTGTGCAGCAGACCGTTAAAGCCCCTTTTAGTCAAAGAACGAGACAAATTGTGCTAAATTCTTTGCATTGATTGCTAAAGAGCAGCCCAAAAGCTAGAGCCCCGTGTGATCGCTCACCGTGAATGAAAGTTAAGACATCACCTGTTCTCCCTTGGCGTAAACTGTGCCGCAGACAAACCGATTTCCAAGTTTTAACGCTCTGCTGGAATCGACAGAGCGAGCGTGCACCTCGAGGCGCCGTGACGTGAGGGACTTTTTAATTAATCAGAGTAAACGCGGCCGACATTTGCCTAGAGCATCCGTGTCACAATCAATAGTCTGAGCACACTAGGAAACAAATGATGGTGCTGTGACCCGAAGATGCTCCGTTCTGCCCAGGAAGTCTGTGACCAGAAAAGAAATGCTTCAAAAAGCTGAAGAAGAACAACGATGGGAACAACAACAAAAAAGGAATAAAAAGTCTAAGTAGACATAAATGATCCCAACACAGGCGTGGATAAAAGGAGGAAGAACATTTGATACATCTAAGCCCCCACAACGGAGCTCTAAAATTGAGTCCAACCCGGAAGTAGCAAAAATTGCAGTTCCACCCTCATCCACTAGGGGCTGGTGTCAGAAGCGAGCAAATCCTCATTGACTCCCATGTTAAAAATACCAATTTCACAGCAGAAATAAACATGTTTACAGCCTGGTACCAAAGCATGTTTTTGGTTTAAATGATCTATTTTACACTCATGACAACTCAGGGGGGTGCATTTTTTCTCACTCTTCTGTTTAAGTGTATTAAAAGCCTAAAATTCTGTATAATTAATGAGCATCAGACCCACGTGACCACAGAGCTAGCTCCGTGGATAGGCCTCAGTAGAGCCTCGGTCTGGCTTGGAAACTGCTCCGGGATTTTGAGTCTCTGTGTTTGTGTATTCTTGTTTGGATATTTTTTGTGCAATTGTTGGACAAAATGACTTGATGTGGCATTAATTGCACTAATAGAGCATCCAAGTAGTCTCCACTTCATTTTTTTCAGTAAGTAAAATTATATTTATGTATTTTAGGTCACTGCCAAGCTGAGCTTAGATTTTAACATGTACTGTTTAACCATGAAATTTAAATGTAATAGGGTAAAACCCAGTGCATTTAACATAACGCTGCACTTTAGAAAATGGGTTGAAATATAACATGTTGGTAGAGCTGGGTTCCCACTATCGGCTTGTGGAGCTCTCGGGAGACCGATGTTTTCCACCCATTTCTCCCCTCCCCGCAGCTCGGCGCATCTCTGTCTGATCGCGGGCTGCCGGCTTGTGGAGCTCTGGGATGGAAACCTTTCCACCCGGTTCTCCCCAGCGGCAGCTCTGCGCATCTCAGATCGCAGTGGCGCTTGTCTGCTGTGTGGCTGCCGGCTTGTGGAGCTCTCCGAGACCTCTGTGTTCCACCCGGTTTTACCCAGTGGTCAGCCGGGCGTATCTATGACTCAGAAGCTCTGGTGTTGTGCACAGATAACTCCGGTTGTAGCTAGGTTGCTACCTCCATTAGCTTAGCTCCCACCTCCGCGTTAGCTTTGGGTTAGCTTCAGGTTAGCTTGTAGCTAGTTCGCCCGGGTGTCATCAGTCGATCCCAGCCTTACAGCCCCACCCTCAGCTCCTCCTCTCTTCCCTTTTATGGAATTGTCTGGGCTTGACGGAACCTGTGACAAGGTCAAAATGGCGGTGGTGGCCACCTCCCATTTGGCCTCAAAAACATGTTATTGGAGCCTATGGAAAGGAGATGTGCAGTATATTTATGTCTATGGATACATCTCGAGGGAGAACAAAGGAAAACACATTAAATAGCCCACTCACTGTCCATTAACAACACACACTGCAGGTTTCGTCACATCGACCTAAAGCGGGACCAAAACTTCCAGCTGAGTCATCGTTAAAATCTCCATATTTGCATATTTCCTATAAAAAATCCATCCCATCTAGAGTGTGTGTGTGTGTTTAGGAGTCAGTCAGCACAAGGAGAGGCCCGTGTCCACGCCGGGGGACGATCACTAACCTTAAGGGTGTAGGCTTTTCATAGACGTTTACTGAATGCCCCACAGAGACATGTGGTCCAAAAGACATGGTGTCCACTTTGATAAACAAGGTTATCAAAACATTTGTTGATACGATGGTGATGCAACTGGCTGGCAAAGCGGAGCGTTTTTAAATCATACTGAAGTTGCACGGGGATTGCACTAAAAACCATTTTTGTCAGTTTGTTGACAACAAAAGACTGTTTTCCTGCAAAACTTCACTAACAAGGTGACTCCAGCAACCTTCTGCACAGCAAAGCCTCCTTCAGTGGCTAAATAATCAGTATTAACCCACCGAGGTTAGTCCGCAGGGCAGCAACCAACATCTTTCTCGTCTGAGGTTAAAAACATCCTGCTTCAGCTTCTTTGATGCATAAGAAGTAACCTAAATATCCCTTGTTACTGCTGTGTGTGTGTGTGAGTACGTGTGTTTGTGTTGGGGGAGCAGGATAGTCGTAGGTGTGGTTGTAGAGGTAATCACGTATTCCCAGAACAGAAATCAAAAATTTGCCCTCTAGTGAGTTCTGGGGTTTATTGTGTCCAGGCCACATTCTCCTGCATTCAAAAGAAACAACCATTCTCACACAATAAGCCCTAACGACTCAAACAACTCCTCAGGGGTAGGGAGGAGGGCTATCCATAGGTGGCAACAACAGACAGCCACAGTTTATTAGTTTGACCCTTCCAGATGAGAGCGCTCCTCACATCATCTCCAAGTCTGAGCCGGCTAACCTTCAGAAGCTCATTTCAGCTGCTTGGATCTCGTTCTCCTGGACATGATCAACGTCTCTCGGTCATGGGGGGTTTGAACGTAGACGGACCACTAAAGATCCTCCTCAAAACAAACAACACAGTTTCTCAGTGAATAAGACCTTTAAGAGTATTTTTATCTTGTGTGTGTCAGAACATTTAGCTCATTTAAAATTACAGCAAGGATCAATAAAAAAAACAAATCAAGTATTTATCTTGATTTAGAAAAGGGTAGAATGCCTTCTCCGGGTCAGGGATGAGGTCCTGCCCCAAGTGGAGGACTTTAAGTATCTCTGGGTCTTGTTCACGAGTGAGGGAAAACTGGAGCGTGAGGTCGACAGGCGGATTGGTGCTGCATCTGCAGTGATGCGGGCGTTGTACCGGTCTGTCGTGGTAAAGAGAGAGCTGAGTCAGAAGGCGAAGCTCTCCATTTACCGGTCGATCTACGTTCCTACCCTCACCTATGGTCATGAGCTTTGGGTAATGACCAAAAGAACGAGGTCGCGGATACAAGCGGCCGAAATGAGTTTTCTCCGAAGAGTTGCTGGGCTGTCCCTTAGAGATAGCGTGAGAAGCTCAGTCATCCGGGAGGGGCTCGGAGTAGACTCGCTGCTCCTCCACATCGAGAGGAGCCAGTTGAGGTGGCTCGGGCATCTGGTCAGGATGCTTCCTGGGCGCCTCCCTGGTGAGGTTTTCCAGGCACGTCCAGCCGGGAGGAAGCCTAAAGGTAGACCCAAGACACGTTGGAGGGACTATGTCTCTCACCTGGCCAGGGAACACGCCTTGGGATTTCCCCAGAGGAGCTGGCCCAAGTGGCTGGGGAGAGGGAAGTCTGGGCGTCTCGCCTTAGGCTACAGCATCGTGACCTGACTCCAGAAAAGTGGATGAAAATGGATGGATGGACGTATTTATCTAGGTTACATTTTGTTAGCGATTTAGATCCAGAAGAATTCTTTATTTCATCTTTCTTCTCTTGTTTTTCACAAAAAAAACCCCACTAAGTTTTTTGCCTGTGATGCCATAATTCCATGCACATATTCAAATAAATGATTTTTTATAAAAGAATAAGACTAAAAACCCTGAATTCTATGTACAATCTTTGTTTTGTAGAAGAATGTTGACCACCTTATGGCAGTGAACTAGTAGGGATTCCAGTCTTATCCAAGCAGAGCAGACTGCTGTGCATAAAAGGAGATCAACAGAAACCCCCTCTGGTGCTGAATGAAAGCTACAGCAATTAGACTTCCCAGTTTGAAGCCAGTTGTACCACCAGACCCACTAATTTCACATTAAACACCACTTCTGGCACTGAAATCCAGCCTCTACGTCTGGGTTTTAGAAAAACAGGAAAATAAAACCAACAAACGCACAAATATATATATACTGTATATATATACAGTATGTATATATATACTGTATATATATATACAGTATGTATATATATACTGTATATATATATATATATATATATATATATATATATATACTGTATATATATATATATATATATATATACAGTATATATATATATATATATATACTGTATATATATATATACAGTATATATATATACAGTATATATATATATACTGTATATATATATACATTTACATACTGTATATATATATATATATATATACACTGTATGTATATACTGTATGTATATATATACTGTATGTATATATATACTGTATGTATATATATATATATATATTATATATATATATATATATATATATATGTTTATGTCACCATAAAGTCACTTTTTAAAGATAGCAAGCTTTGTCGACTTTGTAAAAGGCAGAAAAAAATAAATATGTAAATTTGAAAATGAGAATTTCACAGCCCTTCCAGGTCTGAGTTTCCTCTGTATGATCTCTGCTGAGACTCCAAGGCTGCAGAAGTAGGACACAACGTCTGAGGAGGAAACGCAGGGGGAAGAAGCATGGCTGAAGAGACGGAGAAAGCAGTGGAATTAATAGAGGAGGGATTGGTAGTTATATTAAAGCAAAGTACATAAAACAGGAGGGGATTTCTGAAATAGAATACGAGGAGATTTACGAGTCAACAGCTACTCTCCAACACATTTATGTCTCTGTAGTTTCAAATGAATCTGCCCAAATATGTGAGAGAGAATATTTATGAGTGTTTTGGAGAAAAAAACTCAGCAACACTACAGAGGAAACTCACTTATCAGCTTTGTCTTACAAAACATGTGATAAATAACCGTTATGATTTTATTTGCTTCACTGTGGACAGATATACACATCAGAGCGGGTTGCTTTTCTTCCCCTGACCTTTTGGTGCAGATGGATCATCTGTGTGTGTGTGAGTGTGTGTGCGTGCGTGCGTGTGTGTGTGTGTGTGTGTGTGTGTGTGTGTGTGTGTTTGTTTCAGTGCTCCAGTTCCACCCCCATGCGACTGCAGTCAGGAGTTATGGGGCTCATAAAGTCCACTTCATGATTAATGGAGGAACCAAACTGGTGCACAGGTATGTGCATTTATAAACCATGCAGGTTGGTCAGTTCCACCTGCAAACAATACATGTTGAGATGGGCCGATTGAGTTTACTATTTAATTATAAAACACATAAAATACGAACTTTATTTAGTGTTGAACCAGAGATTAGTAGTTTAGTCCTGCAGATGTCTTAGTCCCATGAAAGGAAAATGGCTCCTTTATCAGGTTTGAGTGAAAGACGCGTCCTCAGAAAAAATCTACCAAGGTTTATAGCTCAAAATTCATTATTCTTCCTGTAACGGGTTTTAACGTTAACGTGGGATCTTCAACTCTTTTTTGTAATCAGCTCAACTCGACATGGCTGCCACAGCGAAGCAACAAAGGACACAAAAAATGGCTCCAACTCAACGAATATTGATCTTGAACTGGACATGGTAGTAGCTGATTGTCTAATTCATCATGTAACCTGAGCATGAACTGATTGCATGACATATTTGCTGAAACATTAGTGTTGTCTGGTGGAGTCGACACGGTTTGTCCAATAATTAAAATATTAAAAACATAAAAACAAAAATGGCTTCATCTGAGTCAAGATGGGGTCAGGACATCTTCCTGTACGCTCTGCAACAGACAAATTCAGCTTTCATCACATATGACAAAGACATTTTTATGTATACTTCTTGAAAAACCAGCATAGACCAGCATGTGTTGTGTTTTGGTGCTGGTCCAGCATCCACGTTGGACTAGCACTGTATGCTGCACCAACTAAACCAGCACCAAAACAACATATGCTGGTTTTTCCAGCAGGGAAAGCGGTGTAAATTTTGCAGTTTACTTCTTGGTTCAGAGTCACATTTCACTGCAGGATGCACACATACAGCAGAGCAGGCGACAAACTTTTTGAGTATTGAATCTTGACTACTAGGACTAAATGGAAACGCCGTAGCGACCCCTGGAGGAAAAAGCCAAGAGAGAAGAAGGAGAACCCTGAATCTTATAGATTTTGAGTTCAAATTATGCTTTAGAACATATCTCAGGACAGGGTATCTGCAGGTTTAAGGGGGCCAAATTTAAGACTTTTTAAGACCTTTTTAAGGCCACTTTGACAAAAATTTAAGCTAATTTTGAAAATTTAATATAAGCTATAATTTTCAGCCATTGCCTGGAACCGGTGCTAACCACGTCGCAATCGTGGGACTAGCCATCCAGTTACCATTAAACTTGCACTTCCCCATGGCGCAAGCTCCCACTAGCTTAACCAGCTAATGTGCTCATCTAAAAATAGCCCCCTTTCACAACCAACTGAATGTGTACGGTTCCACTTACGCCAACATCACACACAAAAAATGCTGAACACTAACTAGAAATTCACGAAAATTTTATAGAAATAAAACTGGGTAATTGGTAATTTAAGACCTTTGGAAACTGTATTTATGGATTATTTGTCATTTTTAAGGATTTTTAGGGCCTTAAATTTGGAAAAGCAAATTGAAGACTTTTTAAGGACCCGCGGATACCCTGCAGGATTTCTGAACGATCGTTATTTCATCCAGTTTCCACATCAGGTTACCTACAGCTACACTCTGGCATGAGCAAAGGTAAAGTGATGTGCATCCCTTTAAAGAAGTGTGTCTTTTATACTATGATTAAATTCCTTCCTTTAGTCGTGTTTCTATATAAGCTGTTGACTTTGTGTCCACTAATTCCCTTTACACGACCAACCACCTAAAATAAAAACAAACATGATTATTTTTGGTCTGTTTGTAGGAGTGAGTCAGTTTAACCATCTCAGGTGGTGTGCATGGACGTAATTTTTTTGGGGGGGGGACAGGGGGGTCATGTCCCCCCACTTTTTCCAAAGTCAAGTTTTGACCCCTGCACTTTTTACCATCCAAAAACAATATTACGCTATACTAAATTGACACTGGTTGAGCTCTAGGACCAAGCGGAAAACAACCGTTTGTGTTGAAGCCTGTTTCCCATTAGAGCATACTGTAAAGATACCCCCCCCCCCCCCCCCTGTGCTTTAGAATTTTCACTTCTAAAGTGAAAATTACGTCCATGGCGGTGTGTCAGCTGCGCCCGCGGCTCACCTGTGGCCATCTTTCCATCAGCTGCTGCAGGCCCATCAGGGATCACGCTTTTCACCTGGAGGAACTCGTCAGGCTCGTCGCCCCCGATAATAGTGAAGCCGAAGCCCATGTTGCTCTTCTGAAGCTCCGTGGACAAGAAACTTCCTTTCAGCTGAGTGGGGTCCCGTGTGAACAGTGGCTTTTCTGCAAAGGGATGAAAGGAAAGAAATTAAAAAGGTGAATCTCTAAAAGGCTCTAATGCAGAGAGGACTTTAAAGCCGAAGCCAGGGAGTGCTCAGAGGGTGTGGGGGGTCACTTAAGGGTTTAGCCGCAGGAAAACTGGCACAAACGGGCACAGGTGGGATCGTAGAGCGCACAGGTGGGATTCGATCAATTCTGGTGGCTGTGCGGGGTACAAATGCATCAATGCGCCACAACACACACAATTATCAACTAATCCAGTCCTCCAGAGCTGGAGCATGATAGGCAGAGTGTGTGCGAAGAGCAACAGAGGTGCACATCTTCAGTCCAACCCAAGCAGCAAAATTCAGCAATTAACATGCTCTCAGCCAGGGAAAACGCTCCACAGGAAGAGGCTCAGAGAGGGCAGGGAGGAACTGGGAGGTTTCTGGGAAGTTTTCTAGAGTAGTGTCTTGAGTGCTAATGAGAGGATCTCAGCCAACAAGCTTAGCCACACTTAAGCAAGTCTTCCATCTTTGCACCTGGGACCAGAATATGAGTTTGTTTGCTGTTGCTCATCCGGGTTCAGACAGATTACCTTCTCTGTGCGGTTATGCACAGAGATAAAGCAGGTTACAGTGTACAGCTATCATACAGATCCAATAAATACATCTCATGGGAAGAGCTTGCTTGTGAGTTTGCATGCTTACAGGGAGTCAGGAGCCACATGAACGACAGCCAGCCCCCTCCCCGCTTTTCCATCTTTGCCTACTTACTGACAATGCGCCACAGAGCAAAGGGGCTACAGAGAGGCTGCTCTAGCACCACGGTGCAGGTGGGGGTGTGAAGGGGATGCAGATGATGGTGCTGGTGATGGGGACAAATGTTCATCCGCCGAGTCAGAACGCTCCGCAGTGGGGACACATCGGCCGAGGAAGACGTAGCGTACGGAGGGGCTCTGCGACCCAGCGCCGGGGAGTGGGTGAGGTCACTGAGGCTGTGGCAGCGCTCCAGCAGCAGGCCGACCTGGCTGCGCTGGGGTCTGGGGAGGGAGGCACAGGGGGTGGCATCTTCCACTGGTGTCAGAATAGGAGGAGGAGGAATGTGTCGGGTCAGTACACACCAGGTAACCACGGAGACCAGCTCCCCACCTAGGGGTGCTCTACTACGTTGCTACGGAAACAACCCCCACTTCACAGTCTGGTATTTTTTAGCAGTAAATCCTACTGCTGTAAACTGGTGAGAAGAGGGATCAGGTGGCAACAAAACAGGAGTTAAAAAAACGATACATCCCACTTAAACCCATCAATTCTCCTGGATCCAAATGACTGAATCAGTTCAATTAAATATTTCAACCCCATCAACTGTTGGCAGGACCTGTCTCATACAATTACATTACAATTAAACACTTCTCTCACGACAGCTACGAAAATCACCTTTTAAAATGAATGAAACCAGTGTTTCCTAACCAGGGTTAGGCATACTTAGGGTGAGCGCATTACAGGGAGAATAAATAAAATAATGAATAAGAATAAATAAAAGCATGGGATGTTTTAATGCTTAATGAATACTCTAATATTGTAATGCACAGTAATATATGGTTGAAATCATATTAATTATCAAATTTGGGCCAACCGCTACTGTGCATACATTTAGTCAAGCTGCGTCAGCTTTGCTGCTGCAGGCAGCGCGCGTGGGTTAGGGAGTATGCGTAAAGAAGACGGGGTGACAATGGTTACATGGATCTGGTTTGGGTCTGACGTTGAACAGCAAAACATCCACAGTAAATATTTCTGGTGACATTAAAGGGACTTTACGGAGTTTTGAATTTTTATGCTTGCGATTGCCCCCTCAGGCCAAAAGCGTAACGGCAGCTTCAATAGTAGGCTCGTGCACGAGGCGCGCATGCCGTACGTGCACACTCCTTAATGAAAATAACAGCTGAGACAGTCCCTTGTGTGTGTGTGTGTGTGTGGGGTGGGGGGTGGGGGGGTCTGGAGGACGGAGGAGAGGAGAACGCGCAGCTAATTAATGAAATAATTTGGTTCTGTACCTTTCTCTTCAGCACAGCCGACAAAGGTTTATGATGGGTCAGTCCTCCTGCATGCTCAGATCATTCCCTTCCCTTGCTTGAAAAATTGTTCCAAAATGAAAGTTGAACCCACATCTTTTTTATCTGTGAATTCAATGCCGTTCGGCGAGTCTCAAATAAAAACTTGGGCATCTTACTGTAAAAAAACATATCATTAATGTAAAAAAGAAACTCTAAATGAACTATTTTCACATCGAGAATCAAACCCAGGTCTTCTGCACGAGAATCCGACGTCTTACTAGGTGAGCTAAAGCGCCAATGACGTCTTTTGTATCTGTTACATTTATATCCTTGATGACAGCTGAAACAACGTTCAAAGAACGGTTCGAAGCAAAAATGACTATTTTGTTGCTAATTTGAAGGAAATATCTAGAAAAAAGTTCTACAGAAAGTAGCTAAGGGTCCTCAGAAATGTAGCTAGGTTCATCACTAGGCGTTCAGAACAGCGACAAAGTCGCTGAGTTGGCACTGCCTCACTCTCTGCTGCTAAAGCTACGGATAGCAAATGCTACGGGCTATGCCTGAGCGTGAACGCGCATGAAGCAGCCTGCTCGACTCGAGCATCTCTCTTTTTCTGTGATTTTACAGAAAAACAGGCAATCACAGTAAAAATGCCAGGGCTCATTCTACAGGACCAGGGCATTGCAGGAGAATGTATGAAGAAGACATTTATTATTTCTATACATGTTTTGGCTGTCAAACTTCCATAATGCCCCTTTAAATGTTTTATCTGTGTTAACACTAATTATACCGTTAATTGAAGAACACAGGCTTCTAAACTTTCAGACATTTCTCGTCACTTAATACGAACACATTTCCATCCGCAGCAGTTAACCCGATTAATAACGCTCACGTTTTGTGCAGTCTCTCTCTCTCTCTCTCTCTCTCTCTCTCTCTCTC